GTAGAAGCAGGCGTTGATCATCTTCTGTGGAGGCGGGGTTTACCCACTCTATTACGTCATAAAGTGGCACATTCCATAACCTGTCATTTTGGCAGATTGGCTTCAGTAAAAGCTGTTTTTAGACTAACGAGAAAGTTTTGAGTTCTGAAACTTACAGAATGTTTTTATAGTACAATGACCTTTTAAATGTCAAAAGATCAAGGGAATTTTGATTTCTCGGTTCATGACCCCTTTAATAATGGTAATAATTAAATACATATTATGATTATTATTATGAAATATTCATACAAATATTCAAACATTATAAATGTTTTATCCTCTCTCGAACACAAGGTGTGATAACCTAATAGATTAATGAACCCAATAATTAATGCATCAATGACAGAAGAATGAAATCACAGACTCAGCACACAACTGAATTGAAATATTGAAACAGGTATCCTAGACTCAGACTAGTCCTAGACGAAAGTATGTTCAATGGAAAATCACTATTGACAGGACAATTTAATCCAGGATTAGGTTTGATCTGTAACCTCTGGGAAACCAGACCGTGATGCAAGAGTTCTGACACACAATGCTTATTTATTTCCTGCGCAGCTGCTCTGGAATGACAATTTGTAGATGAATTGTAGTTATACTTCATTTATTTGGCTTAGTTTAATCACATGAAGCTGCCAATGTTCTATTGTACTATTTAACCTCAGATAACACAGTTAAGGGGAAATAGATCACTTTCATGATGGATTAGTGGAGTTTCCAGACTCCCCAGCCGTTATCTTTAATCTGCGGGTTTAGCTAATAACCGCGCATTCAGATAGCCGCTGCGTGTCTACTCCAATCTGAACTGTGAAGCCATCCATCAAAAGCATAAAGCACAACGCTGTTTGGCTCCCCATGAAAAACAGAAATATCGATGTTGATCACGCCGTTCACACGGGTCTTTCGGGTCGGTGTAATTTATCTTCATACCACGCCTCTTCCGCGGCCCTCTGCTTTTCAAAGGCCACGAGCCTGATTTGCTAACATGTCTTCCTGTAGCTCTTCCAGGAGAACCTTGCGACTAATAGAGCTGTGAGCGTGTTTGCTCAAACGTCGTATTGATTTTTTTTAACTCCTTTATCCGTTCCAACAAGAGGTTGGAGGCCAGCGCTCTGCCGTGTTGGAAAATGAATTTGCCAGCTGTTTTTCAATGCGCTCCGGCGCTGCTGCAGAGAGCAGAGATCTAGGTGGGAGGGTTCAGAGCCCGAGGGCAGCTGGAGGATTTCTGTATCGCACATCACTAAAGAGGGCCTTTTGCATCACCTTTCCCCCTTAAGCCTGATTTCCTTAATTTTTTTAAAAGAAAGCAAATGCAACAAAATCGATACCCGACTACGTTTTCTGAGCTAACATTCGCCGGCATATGTTTATGTGTGTGTCTATGCGCTCGGATGTGTGTGCATGTGTGCGTTCATTAAACATATGTTTGTGTGCATGTGTTTGCGCACGCTTTTTGATTAGGATCTGTCTGTCCACTCTCTTGCACGCTGCGGATCTGATTTGTGTTTTTCTTTCGATGTCTGTTTGCATGTGTGTGCAGGTTTCCTGTCTCAGCTGGTACAGGATAAGACCTTTGAGCAGTGCATCCGCGCTGGACACTACTCTGCTAACGTCATTATTCGCCACGCGGGCTGCACATTCCCAGAAAAGCCAGACTTCCACTGATGGGCCACTGAGAGACCGGAAGATACGGCCGTCCGAGTGTTTTATAGGACTAATGCCTTTTTTTAATTGACTTTTTAATCTTCTGTTCCTCTTTCCTCTCTTGTTCACTGCCTGCCTTCTGCTGTGCCTCTGTTGTCTCACAGCCTAATACGATCACAGAGACATATTTCACATTAAAAACTGTTTACAAAAGAGGCAAAAGAGGAATTTCTGTTGGAAATATTGATTTGTTTTTACTAAAGCCATTTTAGTATCACGGTTAAGAGTGATGATCATAACCAGCATCTTTCCAGATGTGGTGTTTGCTAACAAAATTTATTTTAGTCGTAATTAGCTATAAAAACTGAAGCCAATATTGCAGACATACAGAAGCCGGATGAATCATTTGAGCTTTTTTGAAATCAAAGGCTCGTTTTATCTCAGAGAAATTTTGTTGGCCAGTCTTCCTGTTGTAAACCAAATGTATTTGTGGGAAACACTTAAATGTGTCACAAACTGCCAAAATAAACAAAAAAGGCTGTATTACTGCTGTCACTTGTATTATCTTCCTAACCTTATAAATGGGCAAAATGGGTGTTTATTGCTTGAAATGTGTTATATTGTGCATTATCTGTGTTTTTGTTAGACAGAGATTTTAGACTCGGTTTTTGTCCATTTTACTCTCTCAAGTTCTGTGTCCTACTGGATGGGTAGAAAGCCTCCAGCTTCTGCCTGTCCTCTTGATGACAGTGGCAGGTCTGCATTGGTTCATCTCTCTGATATGGGATGAGGAGTAGCTATTTGTGAGCATCATTAGAGAGACTCAAGGTACAGCTGACCCTTTGTCCCCGTGTGTGACAGCAATCATAGCAGATTCGGGTTCTGTCGCTGACAAACCCGGTTGGGCCCTGGCATCACTGAGCACACGGTTTTAAACAACCCGTGAGTCCATGTGAACTTAATGACAGCGAAGGACAAAGTCCTTGAGCACTATTTCACATTTTCAGCTCTCACACAGTCACGCTTGTGTTTTTTCCACTTCTCTAATCCTCCCGCTGTGTGTTTTACAATGATGCTGGGTGTTTTTAAGACCTGCGAAAGTTGCCTGTGAGGTTTATAAAATGCAAGTTGATTCACAGGTGTGTTGCTGTTGGACAACATTTCAGTCAGTAGGTATAGAAGAACAAAGTCAAGCAAGAAGTAAACACAGTTGTGTTTCTGATATAGTTGAAATTTTGGTTCCTCTTTATATTAGGTGTATGTACTTACAGTACATTAAAAAGATTAATTATGTACAATGTACTTGCGTTCATGTTTTATTGCAAAACTTTTGCTGCTATTGAGGTGGGATATGGTTAAGGTTAGGGGGCAGGTTTAGTGGTATGGGTAGGTTTGAGGGCGAGTTGTATTGTATAAAGCACTATATAAATGTGACATTCTTTAAGGAGTAGGTTAAGATCAACTGTAATTACAGATGTATTAACAATTTAATTACAACTAATTACATGCAGGTACGATTTAAATACAAGTGCAATGTAAATACATGTATCTACACAATAAGTGCACTGTATAGTTGTTAAAGGCACTTGATATAAAGTGGGTCTGAATTTTTTATTTAACTTCAAACTGGATATCTCTAATCAGCAAAATCTATAATTTTAGAAACACACACACTTACACAAAAGTTTTCAATACATGACTTGCTATAAGTGTGTTATCTCATTAAAAATGACCAACTGTATCATTTTAGTTGAAAAGCAACAGGCACTGTTTATTTAAAACAATGAATCAGACCAGCTACTGTGTGACCTAATTTAAAGTTTATTCATTTCATAATGATTGATGCTTAATATGCTTACAGCTATTTGATTTGGTTTGGTCCACTATAATAGCAAATATTGTTGTATTTATATTATTTAACAGAAGAAAACCATCTAGACAACAATCTAGGAAATTGATCGTCTTTGCTTAGTTGGCACATTCAACACAGTTGTATTTTTGTAGTTAGAAAAGTGCACCAGTATCTGGAAGGTCATCAGTCTGAGCTAATCTACTTACCCTAGTGCTGTTATACCCTTGTGCAGGGAATTTATCCTGCCTCTGTCTGAATGTGAATATGACTGTGCCAGTGGTTGAAATATGCAAACATGAATAATTCCAATGTATCTGCGTAAACTGTAAACAAATGAACCTTCCCTTTTGGCATACAAATAAGTAACACTGAATTGCAATAGCCACACACATTACAGTGCTAAAAAAGGGGGTCTTGGGATGAAAATGATGCCAGTTATCACCTGTGAAGTGACAGGTATCATTATCATCCAATGCAGCTGATCAAAAACAACAATGCCCAGTGGTAACTTTAAAATAAAAACGTCATATACTAAACTAAAAAGTGGATCCAACTGAAAGCAGTGTAATTATATTAACACAGTGTTAAGTGATGTGTTAGTATATCACACCCAGACCAGCTGCCATAAGTAACTCAACCTGGTGTTTCAAAAAAGACAACTGAAGACAATCCTTTGGTGTCAAATCACCTTGATCAGGCTTTGCTGGAAGCCAGTATGCAGGCTTTTGCCAAACTGTAACCACATCCCACATGGCTCAAGTTTTAGTGTGCAATTTGTTTTCCTCTCAGGCACAGTAAAAAGTAACATGACCATGGTTCAGATTGCTCTGCAACACCAAATTTTCACCACAGGGCGAACCCATGGGCTTTCAGGTGCATTTGAAAACTATCAGTGGGTTTTGTTGCATATTTTGTTATTAAATGTTTTCAATTTACTCCGATTATTACCAACTGTGGTGTAGCACATTTGGCTGTATGTAATTGATGCTGGTATTTATATTGCAAACAAACATCAATTACATGTGCAACACCTTCTGAGCAATTAAAACGTGATGTATAATTAAACAGTGTGAAACTTTTATTATAATTATGCATATATGCGTGTATTCATATGAAATTTGTCTGTGCTGGGTGATATTACAAGTTTCATAATCCTCTTCAAAAACACGGCATATCAGACAGTATCTTGTCTTTTTTCCCCCACACAGTTTAAAATCTCGCATGATTGCGCGTGCTGACTTGGAGACGATTTTGCACGCATACAGTCATATCCCAACAAGTGATATTAAAAGTTTCCTTTTCCGCTTTACAGACAGGGCACATCATGTCTCCTCTTTTCCCACCCATGCCATGTAGTCTGAAACAATGTACATTGTTTCCCAATGAGCGATGTGATGTCACATAGCGGTTACAGAGAGTTAGTCCTCCTCTGTGGTTGATGGAGTGCCGAAAGGGGAGGGTACTACTTTGTCACAGACTCCTATGTAGATTAACCTTTCAATTAGTTGTTATCAGGTTCCCTCTGCCTACGCGTGCGTTCATCTTCCGAATCAAACAGGACCCCATTGGATTTATCAGGCTACTTTACGCATAAATAAGCGTGTTTTTATTGCTTATACGAGGAGCGTGGAGAGATCGTGCGAGGAACTTAAAGGTAAATGTTCGCCTTGCCAGCGTTGTCGGGCATTTATCTCGGCGGTGTCTTGTTGTCGGTGGCATGTTTTAATCGTTCAAGTTTAAGTTGTCGTGAGTGATGTAACTTGACGCAAGCGGAGAAATTAATTCGGGCTATTAAGGTTATTGGGTTACGCGAACCGCGCAAGTATAGCAATCTGCTGCTTGACCCGCATAAATGGAATTTTCCAGATGCTATCTGTTCTCAGTTGCTTGATCTTGAAATATGAGTGCATTTTGCATGCTTTAGACAGAAGCGCATAAACCAACAGCAGCATCATCGCTGCTTTTTAGTGTTTCAGAATAACGGGAGAAATGATATGCCATGATCCGTTTAGGCATTCGCAGGATTTATAAATGTTGCCTGTTTGCGTGCACAGCACATTCGTGAGGACGTGCGCGTTCGATAGTTAATGGCCTCCCGTGTCTTTTGTAAAGTGCAAACTAATTATTAGCTATACTAGATTACAGTGCACACAGTACGGGTAATGCCAGGGATAACTAGAGTACTTGGACTAATTATTCACCATTACATTATTCTCCAAAAAGTGTGACTAGGTCGATCTGCTTATATTGCAGTGTTGTGCGATGCTCATTAGGGGGAGCCTTCTTAAAGGTGTAGAGCGAGTTTCGGCTGATCTTGTATTTAAATAGCCATCAAGTAGTTTTAAACTCATTACATGATGATAAAATATTCCCGCTATCCCTGGTAACTGTTTTTTCTAATGCGGATAGAATAGCAGGTATCGCATTCCATACGCAGTACGGACTAAAGAGCAGTTGACAACTTAAAGGGGTAGTTTGTTTAAATATGAAGATATTGTCATTTTTTACTCCTCCTGTTGTAATAATCCCGAATGACTAAAAAATTTGATGATATGCAGAATTACAGGCTTCAGTTACTGTTGACTTTTATTGAATGTTTAAAATCACACTGAAAGTAAATAATTATTGAGGCTGTCAGTTCTTCACTTTCTGCTTCATGTCTCAATTTGTGCTCCACGGAAGAAAGAAAGTCATAGAGGTTTGGAAAAACATGAGAGTGAGTAAATGATGACAGAATGTTCAGCGGTGTTGAGCTATCCCTTTAAGAGGCGGGTCAAGTGATTATTGACAGATTATGAAGCCAACCGATTCCTCGAGAGGCCGAACTGTTTCCTTGTGATTGACACTTTGGTTATCAAACCAGGGATAAGTATTTGCCCTTTCTAACCAATATTAAAGTTTCTTGGGCGGGACCGTCTTTGTGAAGGTAAGGTTTAATGAGACTCCATTGGGTTGTAATCAGTGTCATGTCGGATTCATGTAAACTACAACATTGTAACAAAATGGCGTCTGTTTAGTAACGCGACCGGGCAAAGCGGCGAAGTCACCTGACCTGTCCACCGTATTAAAGCGTCCAGAAAACAAGGTTTGCGAGACCGTGGGTTAATTGACATGTTGACTTTGTCATCATAAATTATAGATAGTCATCTGTCGGAAGTAGTCATAAAGCATAACCTAATTTAGCCAGCTTTAGCTTAGCGTGCTAGACTTGAGCTCTGGGGCTGTTTAGAAAACCGATGCTGGAGATAAGAAGCCGAATGCTTTTGAGATTCGCCTGACTTTAGCTCACTATCTCGGCTTTAATAAGAGGACTCGAGCTGAAGTACGAATGTCAGTACGCGTTTGTGACACGGTGTTTTATTTTAGCTGTCAGCATTGCAGATGATGTTGCTAGACTCTTAATGTGAAATGTCATGGCCAAGTCGTAGTTTGTGACCAAAACTGGAAGAGTTTAGACGAGATTTAAAATGGATTAAATAAGTGTCAGATCTTAAACAACGCTGTATGTTGTGTTTTTAAGTTTGAGTTGAACACCCAAAATGAGTGGGTGTCAGTTGATAAATAAGACTTTGTTTTACCATCAGTTGTCTTGTTTTTGTATGTTCTAACACTCTGTGTGCTGTCATGCCTTCACGGTTAAACTCGAGTTATTTGGTGGTTATTTAGCTGGCTAACCGAGTCGCGTCGTTCAATTATTTACCATAGCTTTTCTTGGATCTGTTTAGGCCGGATCTAATGTCTCAGAGGAATGGGTCAAGTGTTCCCCTCAGTATGTGTGCGAGGCTTTTTATGTAACAATATTATGGCAGATAAGTTGTGTGGTTGAGTTTACACGGCTGCTGCTGGCGAGCGGACTCGGAGGGATTCTTGAGAAATTGTTCAATGCATGTCACCTGCTGGCTGCTCGCAGCACTGTTCTTCCCCTCCTT